CACGTGGGGAACGTTGCAGTCCTCCGTCACTGAAGCAAGCAAGCCTCATGTTCAGTTTAAGCTGCCTGGCTGCCGGCCGCCATCTTGGCTGGCAGTTAATTTGCATATTGCCCCGATTAGCCAATGGGAAGGGTAGCGGTCGTCCGCCAATTACCATGTTTCTCTTTTATTAGATAGGATAGAGGCCTGATGCACGGGTCGGGGCCAGCACATCTAGACTCAAATTCAGTGCTGTCTCCCTGCTCTGCATGGGCAGGGGATCTGGTCACAGAAAGCAGTCTCCCCAAGGATGTGAACCTAGGCTCAAATTCAGCACAGTCTCCCCGCCCACGGAGCCTGGTCACGGGAAACAAACTTCCCGTGCACTAATAGAAAGCCCTATTGTGCAGCCCTTGTCTGGCAGTTCCTATGCCGCTGTTGCAGGGGCAGTGGGGAGGGGGATTGGCTTTGTGACTCACAGAAATCTGTGTCCAGGGTGCCTGGAGTCTTGGTGTCCCTGGGTCTGCAGCTGTGGTCACAGGTCTTCTACCAGAGTGGCTGTAGGGTTCCAGTTTGCTATGGAGACCAGACTGGGTGGTGGCAAAGCTAGGACCCTAGTCTCAAGCAGTTCTGTTCTTCAAGATGGTGCAGTCTCTGCACTGCTGGTGTCCTCCCCAGAGTGTTTGCGGCCGCAGCGGGGCCATCTAAGACTGCCCGGATTGGCAGCCCCTTGAAGGACCTGCAGGATCTAGCTGTCCCTATTTCACTCACACACACACACACACACACACACACACACACACACACAGCCACACACTCCTCTATAACTCCCTCACTCTCTCACACACTCTCCCTCCCTACCTTCCTGCAGGTTGCCATCTTTCCGGCCCTGTTCTATATCTCCTGTCATTATTTCTTTAAATAAGTTTTCAATATTTTGCTCTCTCTCTTCTCCTTCTGGCACCCCCATAATGCAAATGTTGGTAGGTTTCACTGTCAGCTGATTTCTCAAAAAAAAAGTTTGCAGGTCAGAAAAGAGTGGCAAGAATTATTCAAAGTGATGAATAGCAAGGACCTACAACCAAGATTATACTACCCAGTAAAGCTATCATTTAGAATTGAAGGTCAGATAAAGAGCTTCACAGGCAAGAAAAAGCTAAAGGAGTTCATCACCACCAAACCAGTATTACATGAAATGTTGGAGGGTATTCTTAAAGAAGAGGAAGAAGAAGAAAAGAAAGATAAAAATATGAACAACAAAATGGCAATAAATACATATCTATCAGCAATTTAATCTAAAAATCAAAATAAACAAGAAATTTAATGAACAAAATAAACTGATGAATAAAATAGTATCTGAGGCATGGAACAGATTGATAAATCTCAGAGGGAAGGGGGCGGAATTAACCAACAATTTTATATGCATCCTTAGGTAATCTAAGGACCCAGACAAATAGGGTGGTGAAGGCCTGGGGTGGGGGCAATGGAGGGAAAGGGGGGGTGGCATCTATAATACTCTCAATAATAAATATTTAAAAAAGAGAAGAAGAAATATACTATGCTACCTGATATCCAACCATACTACAAGTCTAGAGAAATCAAAACAGCATGGTACTGTAATAAAACTAAAACATACCAGAATAAAGAACCTAGAAATAAACCCATGCTTATATGGTCAATTAATCTATGACAAAGAAGGCAAGAATATTCAATGGTGTAAAGAGGGTCTCTTAAATAAACAGTGATGGGAAACCTGAACAGATGTATGCAAAAAAAGAACGAGAAGAAAGGAAGAAAGAAAGAAAGAAAGAGAGAGAGAGAGAGAGAGAGAGAGAGAGAGAGAGAGAGAGAGAGAGAGAGAGAGAGAGAGAGAGAGAGAGAGAGAGAGAGAGAGAGAGAGAGAGAGAGAGAGAGAGAGAGAGAGAGAGAGAGAGAGAGAGAGAGAGAGAGAGAGAGAGAGAGAGAAAGAGAGAAAGAAAGAAAGGAAGAAAGAAAGAAAAGGAAAGGAAGAAAGGAAGGAAGGAAGAAACTAGACACATTCTTACACCATATAGAATAAACTCAAAATGCATTAAAGACTTAAATGTAAGACCTAAAACCATAAAACTTCTAGAAGAAAACATTGGCCATAAATTCTGGGGGTGCCAGAAGGAAAAGAGAGAGAGCAATATTTTAGAAATATTTTTAAAGATATTTCTCCTTGGGCAAGGGAAACAAAAGAGAAAAATAGACAAATGAGACTAGAACAAAGTAAAAACTTTTTATACAACAAAACTAAAAGATAACCTACTGATTGGAAGAAGAGATTCGCCAATGATATATCTGATAAGGGGTTAATATCCAAATTTTATAAAGAATTTATACAACTTAACATCAAAAAACAAATAATATGGCTTAAAAATGGGCAGAGGATTTGAATAAAAAATTTTTCAAATAGGATATATATGGTCAATAGACATATGAAAAAGTGCTCAACCTTACTAATCATCAGGGAAATGCAAATTAAAACCAAATGAAATATCACCTCACACCTGTAAAAATGACTATCATCAATAAATCAACTAATAACAAATGTTTTTTCATAGGTATCTTAATTTTTTTGTTGCAATGGTAAATGGGAGTGTTTTTGTTGTTTCTCTTTCTGTGAGTTCATTATCCTATACTAGAGGCCCAGTGCATGAAATTTATGCACGGGGGGGGGTGGTGAGGGAAAGTGTGTGTGTCCCTCAACCCAGCCTGCACCCTCTTCACTCTCTCCAATCTGGGACCCCTCGAGGGATGTCCGACTGCCTGTTTACAGCCAGACATCCCTCTCACAATCCAGGACTGCTGGCGCCTGGTTGCCCCCAATTGCCCTCCTCTGCAGACCTGGATCCCCCCAAACTGCCCTCCTCTGCAGGCCTGCATCCCCCCCCAGTTGTCCTCCTCTCCAGGCCTGGTCACCCCCAACTGCCTTCCCCTGCAGGCCTGGGTCTCCCCCAACTGCCCTCCCCTGCTGGCCATCTTGTGTTCACATGGGGGCAGCCATCTTGTGCATTGGAGTGATGGTCAATTTGCATATTGCCTCTTTCTTATATAGGGTAATAAAAGGGTAATATGCAAATTGTCCAAACAGTAGAACGGCCAGTTGGTGGGGGGCAGGGCTAGCAAGCAGGTGGCACCAGGACAGCCAAGGCAGGTGCCAGTGGGCAGAGGGAGGGGATGGCAATTGGGGGGCAGGGCAAATAGCAATATTAAAATATTTCTTCTAATTAATTCACTTTCAATGTGCCCAAATTTGTGCACCAGGCCACTAGTTGGTGTATAAAAAAGCCATAGATTTCCAGGTGTTAATTTTGTATCCTGCTACATTACTGAATTCATTTATTAAATCTAGTAGTTTTTTCATGGATTCTTTAGGGTTTTCAATGTACAATAACAAGTCATCTGCGAATATGTTAGGTGATGTTAAGACTGCCGTCAGCTTTGTTTGGAATGCAATGAAGTATGATAGAGTAGAAAATGCATGGGCCAAATGCTGGGTTTTAATATTGGCAACGTCATTCGTAGGCTTAAAGAATTTTGTGGGAAATTGGCTTTATTTCTCTGTCTTAATTTTCCTCTCTCTCTTTTTCTATTCATCATCTATCCACCCATTCACAAATACATATAAGTATAATTATAGGAAAGAGTTAAAATATTGAATAACTTTTATTGTGAGCATAACACAATGTCTAAAATGTTGTGCTCAGTAAACAAATACTGGTTTATTCTCCCTGACCCCCAATCCACCTGCAAAATACCTAAAGGGGAAAGTATAAATTTTAAGCAAGATACTTCATTTCAACTAATTATATTTGCTTCCAGATCTTTCCTGCTTTATTTCCTCTTTATCTATATAATAATTAAAAAGTATCTTATAACACTATTATTCATAATAGTCCAAAACTAGAAAATGTCCAAATGCCCATTAACTGATGAATGGATTAATAAAATATGGTATATTCATACAGTAGTATGCTATTCAGTAATAAAAGTATTGAAACATGCTACAACATGGATTCACATTAAAAACAGTATGCTAAGTAAAAGAAGCTATCACAAATGACCACATATTGTATGATTCCATTTATGTAAAATGTCAAGAATAGGCAAATACATACAGACTAAAAGTACGCTAGGGGTTACCAGGGACTGCGGAGGAAAGGAGAAATTAAGGGATTGATTGCTAAATGGGTATGGAATTCCTATTGAAGGTGATGAAAATATTCCAAAATTGATTAATGGGGAAAGTTGCATAACTCCATGAATATATTAAATACCATTGATTTGTTCACATTAAGTTGGTGAATTATACGGTATATGAACTGTAGCTTAAAGCTGCTATAAAACTAAAAGGACTGTGTAAGTGTAGTATGCTAAAGATAATGCTATTTATCTTAAGGATTTCTGCTACATATCCTTTGTTGCAAAGGAAGGTAGTATAGTAACAACTATTTAATTGCTTTAAAATTAAGGGTTGTAAATGCTGTTATTTCTTTTCCTCAATAATTATTCAAAATCTTCAGTTAGTGAAAGGAGAAAATGGCTTGTACAAAATTAAGCTTATTTAGTTAACGATGCTGAATTGTGTTGATAAATATAATTTCATCGTTTTAGGTCTTAAACCTAGTGCAGTCATATGTGACTCTTCGAGTCCCTCTGTATGTTTCCTACGTGTACAATTCCCCTGTTGGAGTAGGAGGTTGGCAGCATTTTGACTTGAAGTCAGAACTTCGTCTAACTTTCGTGTATGACACTGCCATCTTGTGGAATGATGGAATTGGCAGCCCACCAGAAGCTGAACTCAAAGGTGGGAAAATGTACCGATTTGAATTACTTAAGAGGACTTTTTATAGTAGCTAAAAGTCATAAAAGCCAACTTTTACTGAATTTATTTTTATAGTCAGCATTTTCTGATAATTTTATTTTTATCATGAAAATACTTTATTTTAAATAAATCTTATCAGTGCCTCAAGTTTTGTGTAATATGTGACTGTTAAATGTAATATCTATATTTCATGGACATTTAACTCTCATAGTCCATTTTAGGTGATTAATTAATTATATGTTACACAACACAATCTGTATATATCCCTAGATTCCAGAAAAATGAATGTATCAAAAAAGAGGTAGTATCAATTGAAAATAAAGAATTAACTCAAGAGAAGAAAGTTACACATTTTTGTTTCTGAAAATGGGAGTTGCATTTTAAAGTCCTGGGTTCTAATTTTGGCTCTACAGCTAATTAATGGTGTGATCTTGAACATATTGCTTAACCTGTATGGCATTCAGTTTCTTCTGAAAGGTAGACTAGACTTCCAATATTCTTTTTATTTTAAAACTAGAGGCCTGATGCACGAAATTTGTGCAAGAGTAGGCCTTCACAGCTGTGGCAGCTGCCTCGATCCCTCCCTAGCTGCCATGGTGACTGCCTTGATCCCGAGGCTGCAGCCCCAGCTTCGTCCGGAAGGTCATCTGGAAGGACATCCAGATGGTCGTTTGGTTGATTTGCATATTATGCTTTTATTATTAGAAATTCTATTATTCTTTGATACTTTAGCAGAATGTTTGGAATAATGTGGTAAGTGCCAATAATTATTGGGCCCATAAGCATCTACAAAATTTTGTCTCAATCTCCATGTCAGAATCATAATTCAAAATCCATAAGCATAAAACTAATTAATCTATTAGTAGAATTAGTGCTATTTCTCTTTAAGCACATACCACTGTTCTAGTTCAATGTGTGTCTGAGCCTCATGCCTGAATTACTTTTTATGAGCCAAAGGGAAAATACTGTTGATAATACATCTCAAAATCTTCTGTCTTAAATAAATTAAAATTACCTGAAAGCCATGTGTGAGGTAATATGTTCATCTGGAACAATTATTCTAGATTATTTGACATATTTTAATTCCATGTTTTCTCTTCTGCCTCTCCTGTCACTTAAAGGGTGTTAACCCTTTGGCTAGAATGCTTAAAGATGAGGTAAATCTATCTGGCCAGTGTGATTCGGTTGGTTGAGTGTCATTCCATGCACCAGGAGGTCTTCGGTTCAATTCCTGGTTGGGGCACATGCCCAAGTGTGGGCTTGATCCTCAATATGGGGTATGCAGGAGGCAGCAGATTGATGTCTCTCCCTCATCAGTGTTTCTCTCTCTCTCTCTCTCTCTCTCTCTCTCTCTCTCTCTCTCCCTCTTCCTCTCTCAGAAATCAATAAAAACATATTTTTTTAAAAACGATGAAGTGAATCTAAATTCATTTTTGGAAGAAATCCTGTACATTAGCATGCCTGATCATCAATATTGCTACTCTTGTATGTTACCCCATTGTAGGTTCTCTGTATCCAGCTAGCATGCGCATTGGTGAAGAGGGGTGCTTGGTTGTGAACTTCAAGACAGAAGCTAAATTCCATGGCTTGTTCGTGCTGTCACATCCTGGTAAGCCCCATTACTCATTAATAGCCACTCCCAATACCACAAGGGTAGACTTTTCCATATTCACACATATTTCCATGCTTCCTTGTGGGCTTTGAAGTCCTTAATTTCAAATGAATTGCATGGATGCAATTATCTACATGAAGGCTTGATAATTTTTTGGCTACATCTCACTATCTACAAAATCATCATTATCTATGTAGACTTTTAGAGAAAATACAAAATGATTAAAGTAAATGTAAAAGAAAACTCTATTGAGTTTATTAAAATAAAATTTTCCTTAAAGAGCATAGCAACAACAATCTCTTTTTCTACTTCAATTCCACTGTACAAAAATAAATGAATTATAACTTATTTGTTCAGAAAGGACTTCTCTGTTCATAACTGTTTTATAGGTATGTAAGAAATCTTTATAATTGAGCCAGAAGTATCACTTCACTGTTGTACTTACGTTTCAGACATGTTACCTTTAATTATTGGCTATGTAATTTTACTAACTGATGGACTGTGATTTGAATATCAATAAGGTAGCAGTCACTAAAGTCCCATGTCAAAGCTTTTTTTTTTTAATATAAAGGACATTTCATTAAAAAAATTTTAATTTGACTCTCCATATTACTAAAATGATTTGCATATTTTCATGGTATGCCAAGTGATGCCAGATTGGTAGTGGAAAATAATTCACTCACTTTCTTCTATGTCCTTCTTTTTCTAGGTGGGAGCTCTAAACAATGGAGAAAATAGGGCTGAAAATTAAGGAATAGAAAAAGTGTTCATTAATTTTTGATATTGAACTACAAGAAGTACAGAACAAAAAAAATCATTTATCTTATTGTAATTGACAGTTCTGGAAAATAAGGATTTCCTAGCCTTTACAATTCCCATCCACATGTCTACCTTTCTAATAAATTGAATATTTGTTTAGACATGATTGCAGCCAATCTAATTACAATTTGATTCCGTATGTAAGTTGGGTTTGCCCAGCTATGTGGATGCTAATAGACTGGGAAGTTCAGCTAATAGTTTTGGTGCACAATAAATGCACTCACATGAGGCTTTGTTGTACTGTTTTGCCTCTCTTGAAACTAGCCTTGAACTATTTGAACATTTCTGCACAAGTATCTTTTGACAGAATTATACAATGGGAAAAAGCACTGAATTAAGGATCAGAAGGAACAAAACCTAGCTGTGTGATCTTGGGAGAGTTACACAGTTTCTCTATCTGCAAAATGAGAATATGAACCCTGCTATTTTGTAGGCTCGTTATAAGAATAAAAGCAAATAATGTATTCTAAAATACTTGAAAACTCTAAACTGTTATGTACCCTTTAAACACCATGGCATTATTGTTATTGGCACTTTTCTAGGATCCTTCACAAGATCAATGATCATGTCAGCGGATCATCCAGAACTGACTTTTTCCCTGCACCTAATAAGGAGTGAACCAACCTATAACCAGCCAGTCCAGCAATGGAGCTTTGTCTCTGACTTTGCAGTAAGTGATTAAGGCTCTTGCTTCATTTTCCTTTTCTGTTACCTCTGATTGGACCTCAGATTTTTAAGTACCTTCTCTTTTCCTCAAAGGTACGTGACTACTCAGGAACCTATACTATAAAACTGCTGCCATGCACCACCCTATTGCATCAGAAGTATCACCTGCCTGTCACCTGCAACCCCAGAGAACCTGTCACCTTTGACCTTGACATCCGATTCCAGCAGGTATGTCTCATAGGATTATTTTCCTGTGACTTGTAGAATCCCACTATGTTATTTGTTTGGTTTACTTTTATCAGTTAAAAAAATTCACACAGTGATTTTAATTCCTATATCCTGGGGGCGGGGGGGGGGCGGGGGGAGGAAATCAGACATATAGGAAGTAGGAAGAGAATTGCCATTTATCAGTTGTTAGTTCAATATATAAAATCCATAATCTAAGAGTATGCAAGGGTTAATTTTTAATTATCTCTTCTTGGAGTTTGCTGCCTTAGAGATTTGAGAATTTTCCCTTGTTCTTCTGCATTTCTTTATCTTGTTCTTGACCTTTAAGAATAAATATTCTGTAGTTCATGCCACCTCAAAGTACCTAATTGCCATATATTAGAAGAAATGTGAAGGCACTTTTTGTCTAAGAATCAATACTAAATGTCTTCCTGCCACTGACCATGATGTTTACAAGTCCCTTATATATCCCAATAAACCTATGGAAATGGGCTCAAGCAAAGTTATTTAGTCTTATTCAAAAAATGAATTAACCTCGTTAGTTTAGCCTTCTCAAAAAGGACAAAACCAATATTACAATTCCCTAAATTTATTTGGTTGGACCTGAAAATTACAATACTATGTTTAGTATTTTACATATTAGTGTACAGTAAATGTGTGTATCTGTGAATAATATGTTTGTGTACCATCAGAATAATCAACAACATATAATAGGGCTTTTACACTTGGTCTTAGGTCAGTGATCCAGTGGCGGCTGAGTTTAGCTTGAACACCCAAATGTACCTACTCTCCAAGAAGAGTCTCTGGTTGTCTGATGGATCCATGGGATTTGGGCATGAGAGTGATGTTGCTTTTGCTGAAGGTATCACTTTACAAATGAGGGGCCTGCTCTGTATGTTATACATTATATCTGTTGTGTTTTGCTTTATTAGAATTGTGTTGAGGAGAAAAATTGTAACCTCTTCTATGGTTTTGAGAATATAATTGGGTCTTTATCATTATGGTAGGGCTGGGAGAGGGGGGTGTCACTGGAATTGGGTTTATGTTATTGAATGATTTTATTTTTGGAGAATTAATCTGTTTTTTCCTTACCTAAGTGGATTTTTTTTCTTGAATGTATTTTCAAGTTTTACAAACTCAAATATTGCAGCTACATGAAGTTGTAAATGCCTCATGGGCCAGCATTGTGATTTTCTTGCCAAATATCTAGAACATGTGATAAGAGTTTAGTAATGACTGTGAAATAGATACTTGAATACCAGGGAATTTCCTTAAACCCTCTTTCACAATCAGATAAAGTTAATTCAGCTTTTTATTGATGTTTTTAGTGCTATTCTATAAAGTACTAGTCTGTATTGTACCAACTAACTTATTTATGTAAACTAGACTTTAACCACATGGAATATTATGGAGGTTTAGTTATAGGCCAAGACTTGAGATTATTCTACTACTGGCTAAATATGTGAAGGCCAATACATATTCAGTCACTTGTGGTCATTCTGCAAAGTGGTCATATATAAGGCATAGCAGTAAAATAGATCCTGAAGCTAATACTAAAAGGTCTTCTGCATTTGATGCCATACTAAGAAGAGAAGGAAATTCTCTCTGGTGTCATTATTGTCACAAATTGTTTGCAGTGTTACATAATCGAAATAACATTTCTGCATCTCTGTTTCAGGTGATATTATTTATGGTCGTGTTATGGTAGATCCTGTCCAGAATCTAGGTGATTCCTTTTACTGCAGTATTGAGAAGGTGTTTCTGTGCACTGGAGCTGATGGCTATGTTCCCAAGTACAGTCCAAAGAATGCAGAATATGGCTGCTTAGCTGATTCTACTTCACTCTTATATAGATTTAAAATTGTGGTAAGTGTGGACTTCAGTCAAGATAAAGTAAATGAATGCTGTACTTACCTCCTCCCATAACCACATCAAAATTAAAACTAAATTATAGAACAACCACCCTTGAGAACCACCTGAAGACTAGCTTAAAAAACTATTATAACTAAGAATATAAAGAAGAAGCCACATTGAGACTCATAGGAAGGATGGAAAAGCAAAATGGGCTGATCCCACACCCATGTGTTGCTGTTAAGAATAGGGAAGGTTGCCGAAACCGGTTTGGCTCAGTGGATAGAGCGTCAGCCTGTGGACTGAAGGGTCCCAGGTTCGATTCCGCTCAAGGGCATGTGCCTGGGTTGTGGGCACGTCCCCGGTGGGGGATGTGCAGGAGGCGGCTGATCGATGTTTCTCTCTCATCGATGTTTCTGACTCTCTATCTCTCTCCCTTCCTTTCTGTAAAAAATCAATAAAATATATTTAAAAAAAAAGAATAGGGAAGGATACCTTGGTTGTACAGGTTCCCCCAGAGGAGCAAGGGGTGCTATCCCCACACTGAGGTCACCAGCCCAGACCCCCAGTTTTGACAGTCCAAGTCCCCATGACATATGGCTATGAAAATCAGCAGGGTTTCCTTCCAGATGAGACAGAGGATTGCTGTAGACCCTCTTAAGGATCCTCTTAAAGGTCCTGAGCACAGACTCACTTGCTGACACTCATGCTACACTCCAGTGAAGAAACAGTAGATCAAAAATCACCAGGGACTCAGGGACATATGGTAATTGTGTAGCTTCACGGCAAGAGCTAGAGAAGCAAATCTGTTCAAGACTGAAATGCTGGCAGGCATCATTGTACCTTTGTTAAGCCCTTTATCCACACAGCCATCAGGTTCAGGGTGGCACCAAATCTGAGTCTCTAGTAACCTGCCCCACCCTGGTGATTCCTTGAGACCCTACCCAACTGACACACCTGAATTGAACCTTTTTCAGTGGCTATTCGACACAAATGGCTGGCCTTGGCCCATGCTTCAAATGTTCCTAAAATCTCTCAAAGATCCACAAACTCCCCAAAGCAGAGGCTAGCCTGGGCATGTCCTATACCACTTATTAAATAGCCCCAAGCACAGTATTAGTGGCAGCCAGCCTCAGTTCACAACATAGCCTCTCCCAGGTGCCCCCACACATAGGACTGGCAGCTACAAATTACAGATCATTTTGTAACTCCTACCAGTGGCCTACACTGGCCACAGAAAATGGCTGATCTTGGCCTGTACCAGAGCCCCTCCCAAGAGTTCCCAGAACCAACACAGTAGCTAACTTCATGTCGTACCAGAGCACAACCCAATTAATTCCACAAATGACATACAGAAAGGGTGTACTAGACAGTCACCAGAGCCCTGCTAATGCAAATCTCATTCTGTGGGGTAAACCCCTGCACAACAATTCATCCACTGTATTCATGGCTAGTCCTACAGCCAGTCAGCCTGAGGGTCTATCTGACCCACTGATGTGCCAACAGCAATCAAAACTCAATTACAGTAGAAGAGCATACACAACTCACAAAAGAGAGACCCTGAAGCACCCAGCTCAGGTGACCAGGTTGATTGTGCCACAGGACACCTACTGCATAAGGACACTCTGCCAAGAATGGGAGACATAGCAGATTTACCTAATACATAGAAACAAACACAGGGAAAGCAGCTGAAAAGAGACAAAGAAACATTTCCCAAATGAAAGAATAGGGCAACATTTCAGAAAAAAAAATGGAGACTAGCAAACTACTAAATACAAAATTCAAAACACTAATTATAAGGATGCGCAAAGTCACTAATTATCAGAGAAATTAAAATTAAAACCACAATGAGACACTGCCTCACACTTGGAACTTAGGAAAGAATAATGAACTTAGTGAAAACTTATATAAGATGGAAATCATAAAAAAGAACCAATCAGAAATAAAGAATATAACTGAAATGAAAAATACAGTAGATAGAATCAAGAGCAGATTAGAAGAAGCAGAAGATCAAATTAGCAATATGAGAAAAAAAATAGTGGAAAACACTCAATTGGAACAGAAAAAGAGAAAAACGAGGATAGTTTTAGGAGCCTCTGGAACAACATAAAGTGTACTAACATTTGCATCAGAGAAGTACCAGAAGAGCAAGGGATTGAAATAAATCTGAAGAAATAATAATGGAAAGCTTTAACCTAGCAAATTAAATAGGCATACAAGTTCAGAAAGAGTAGAGAGTCCCAAGCAAAATAACCCACGTAAGGCAGACCATAATTAAAATGCAAAGATAAAGACTAAAAGAATCTTAAAAGCAGCAAGAGAAAAGTAGCTCCCATAAGGCTGTCAGCTGAATTTTCAAAAGAAACTTTACAGGCCAGAATTAGTGGGGTGATCATATTTTAAGGTATAGAAAAGTTGAATCACTATATTGTACACCTAAAACTAACATAATGAATATAATATTGTATACCAACTGTACTTAAATAAAAATATTTTAAATGGTCAGAGGATCTGAATAGATACTTCTGCAAAGAGGACCTACAAATGGCCATTAGATATATGAAAATATGCTCAAAGTCACTAATTATCAGAGAAATTAAAATTAAAACCACAATGAGACACTGCCTCACACTTGTCAGAATGGCTATCATCAATAAATCAACTAACAAGTGTTGGCGAAGATGTGGAGAAACGGAAAAACTCATACACACAGAATACAAACTGATAGTTGCTAGATGGAAGGGCAGTTGAGGGGCTGGGTGAAAACGTGAGGGGATCAAGATGTGCCAATTGGCAGTTACAAAATAGTCAGAGGGATATAATATACAGCATAGGGAACATAGTCAATAATATTACAGTATTATTGTCAGGTGGGTACTACACTTATGGGGGAAATCACTTTGTAAGTTATATAAATACTAAAGGCCCAGTGCACAAATTCATCCACAGGTGGGTCCCTTGGTTTGGCTAGCAATCGGGGCCAATCGGGGCCATGGGAGCTTAGCCGGGAAGAGGGGCCGTGAGAGGTTAGCCTGCCCAGGGCGGGGAAGGCCACAGGAGGTTGGCTGGCCAGGGGAAAGGGCCACAGGAGGTTGGCTGTGGGAGCATACTGACCACCAGGGGGAAGCTCCTACATTGAGCATCTGTTCCCTGGTGGTCAGTGCACATCATAGCAACCAGTCAACTGGTTGTTTTGTCACTTATGCATTTATATATATAGATCTAACCATTCTGCTATACACCTGAAACTAATATAATGTTGAATATCAACTATAATTAAAATGACTTTATTTATTTATTTATTTTTATTGTCTAAAGTTTTACATATGTCTCCTTTCCCCCCAATTGACACATCCCCCCAGACATTCTCACTGGGCAAGCCCCCACCACACCAGTGCCTGTGTCCATTGCTTATGCTAATATGCATGCATACAAGTACTTTGGTTGCTCTCTAACAATCCCCTACCATTTGTCTCTAAATCCATTCTTATTCTTCAAATTATGTTGATCATTATATCCCACATATGAGTGAGATCATGTGACATCTTTCTCCTACTGGCTTCTTTCACTTAGCATAATGCTCTCCAGTTCCATCCAGCAGTGCACAAGGGTTCCTTTTTCTCCACATCCTCGCCAGCACTTGTCGTTTGTTGATTTGTTGGTGATAGCCATTCTGACAGATGGTACCTCATTGTCATTTTGATTTGCATCTCTCAGATGATTACTAACTTTGAGCATGTTTTCATATGTCTCTGGACCTTCTGTATGTCCTTTTTCAAAGTGTCTATTTTGACCCTTTGCCCATTTTTTTGATTGGATCATTTATCTTCCTTTGATTAAGTTAACATTTGACATCTGAAAATTGTGGAGATTAAACCCTTATCAGAAATATCATTGGTAAATATGTTCTCTCATGCAATGGGTTTTCTTTTTGTTTTGTTGATTGTTTATTTTGCTGGGAAGAAGTTTTTTATTTTGATGTAGTCCCATTTGTTTATTTTCTCCTTAATTTCCATTGTCTTAGGAGATGTATCAGTAAACATATTGCTACAAGAGATGTCTGAGATTTTGCTGCCTATGTTTTCTTCAAAGATTTTTATGGTTTCACAACTTATAAGTATTTTATTCATTTTTGATTTTATTCTTGTGTATGGTGTAAGTTGGTGGTCTAATTTCATTTTTTTGCATGTACCTGTCCAATTGTCCCAATGCTATTTATTTAAAAGATTGTTGATGTATCATTGGCAAATATGTTCTCACATTCATTGGGTTGTCTTTTCATTTAGTTGATGGTTTCTTTAGTCGTGCAGAAGCTTTTAAGTTTGATGGTCTATGTTTATTTTTACCTTTGTTTCTTTTGCCCTGGGAGATATATTGGCAAAAATATTCTATGGGAGATATCTGAGATTTTACTGCTCTTGTTATATCTTCTATGATTCTTATGGTTTTGTGATTTACATTTAAGTCTTTTATCCATTTTGAATTTATTTTTTATATGGTTTAAGTAGATGGTCTACTTGGATTTTTTTGCATGTATCTGCCCACTTTTCTCCATACCTTTTACTGAAGAAACTATTTTTAAGAGACTGTCTTGTCTTGCCTCCTTTGTCAAATATTAATTAAGCATAATGGCTTGGGTCGATTTCTGGGTTCTCTGTTCTGTTCCATTGGTCTATAGAGCTGTTCTTGTGCCAGTACCTGGCAGTTTTGAGAACCGTGGCTCCTCTGTGTCATAAGCCACAACCCTGTTTTTAAGCAGGCGGGATCTCTCTGCTCCCTCTGTTTCTCTGCTTGCCTTCAGTTGTATTTACACAAGAGTCAGTTTCTGATACAACCCCTGGGTGGCAGTGTTTCTGTAATGATATCCAGGGCTCAAAGGCCCCTCTACTTAGTGTTTAGATTTTTCTTTCCCTGCCGCACTTAATACTGGGTTGGAGGGACAGACTGCCCCAGAGCTGGTTTCCTGTTTGTCTCTCCCCACTCTGATCCCCAGTTTCCACAAAAACAACTTTCCCCTGCAGTCTCAGTGAGTGTTTTTAATTGGAAGATCCTATGTATTAAACTTAGCAAGCAAAGCAAGGAATTAAAAAGGAAAAAAGCCAAAGGAAGCGTGCAAACTCTTTTCCCCCTGGCACTGTGCAGCTAGTATAGAACTTCAGGCTGCCTTTCTGGGCCCAGCCCAACTGTGGGCTAATATCTAGAGTCCTCCTCTGCCAGCAGCCCTGTGGTCCCCCTTCCACATTCAAGGGCTACACTGACCCCAACGGCTGCAGATTTTGTCGGGCACAGTCTTCTTCTGAGACTCTAGTCCCCACTACGTACATTTCTCCCTCCAGCCTCGATCCCAGATCTCACCTGTCTCTAGGCCAGCGGTTCTCAACCTGTGGGTCACGACCCCCTTGGGGATCGAACGACCCTTTCACAGGGGTCGCCTAAGACCATCGGAAAACACATATATAATTACATATTGTTTTTGTGATTAATCACTATGCTTTAATTATGTTCAATTTGTAACAATGAAAATACATCCTGCATATCAGATATTTACATTACAATTCATAACAGTAGCAAAATTACAGTTATGAAGTAGAGCAACGAAAATAATTTTATGGTTGGGGTGGCTCACGAGCCGCAGTTTGCTGACCACTGCTCTAGGCGATATCTGACCTTTCTGTCCATGGATTGCCTCACCAGCTGTGTCTAATTCACCAATTCTGGGTGGGTGTTGTTTGATTCAGCTGTTCCTTTTATCTGCTCTCTGAGAAGGTGCAGGGCCCATCCACATATTCAGCGCCGCTTTGTCTCCCACTGGACAGACTTTTTAAGTACCTGTGGTCGGGGAGGCTGGAGTCCCGGTGTTCATCGGTTCGCAGCTGAGGCAGCTGGTCCCTGGGCATTCTGTTGTAGGATCCTGGGAGGTATTTGAGGTCTCCCTGGTTGAATGTAAGGCTGGGCTTCCAATCACAGCCGCTCTCCCCTTCAAGATGGTGCAGTCTCTGCCAAAACTACATTTTTTTCATTAGAGTAAGTGCTTTGACCCAAACAATGAACTAGGTACATATTCAAAGTTAAGCATTTTTGTCTTATGTTTTAATATAATAACATCTTTTCAAATGAAACTAAATTGTGACATAAAATGGTAATTTGTACTTGTACAAAATTAATAGGAAAACATTCTAAGCTTGCATGATTTGGCATTTTCTACAGCAATCCTTATTTTTCTTATTTCTTAAAGGACAAAGCTCAGCCAGAGACACAAGCCACCAGTTTTGGAAATATTCTGTTTAATGCCAAACTGGCAGCAGATGACCCTGAAGCTACTCTTTTAGTGAATCAGCCTGGATCCGATGGATTTAAATTGGACTCAACACCACTCTTTCAGGTGGGCCAATACCAAGTTCTCTTACAATAGCTATGTAACCACATGCAAGTTACTTAATATTAAATGCCTCAGATGTCTCATTTGTAAATAAAGTAATAATAATATGTCATTTGATTTGTGTGAACATTGAGTAATGCATGTAAACCACAACCAACCATACTGCACACATGGGTGAGCATTTAATTAACACTAGCAATTTATTTTTATTAATGTATTATTATTTTTTAAGTCAATTTTTAATAAAGATCCTTATTCAGCCCAGAATAAATCTAAGTCTGATGGGTGGGAACTCTGCTTTCCTTATGCAAAATTTTCTTTCTGTTGACTTTTCATGGCCATTTTTGTGTGAACTGCTGGACTCAGACAAACAATGTGCACAGCACATAAATCTCTACTCTCAAAAACTTTATAAACCAAGATAAAGAATTATAACCTAGAGACAGACAGTAAAAACAGACACAGGTAACCATAACTACACTGAGCAGATAAGTAAGACAAATTCAGAGATGTGTTCACATTTTGAATCCTTGGGACTTTTAGGATATTTACTAAAAATTGTTCAGACAGAATGGGTCGGAGAAACGTGTTATCCTTATTCAAACTAAAGAGAGAACCTTAAGGAAACACATTTTGTTATTCTGAAGTAGAAGTATATATTTTTGTTTCTGTTCTTACTGTTAACTCTGGAAGCATTTGACCTCTTCTAAATCCTAAAGGCTTCAAAGGACCATCAGAAAACCCTTCTTATCAAGTTCTGGAAAAGCAGAAAACTTGTCTATAGTCTTATATGTAAATATGCAGCAGAACATACTAGAAAAGAGGTCCAAAAGATCTGAGTTCTAGTCCTGCCTTTTCCACTTACTAGTTGAGTAACAATGGGCAAGTTACTTAACTGCTCTGTATTCTGAGTAAGTTAGACTGATGTCTAAGGTTCTTTCCAGTTCTGACATCCTGTGACTACAAGTTATAGATTACCAAGTATTTACCAGCACATGCTCTCATAATTGTTGAAAAAAATCATTTAGAGTCTTACAGAAAGCCTTGCACACACTACACATGCAGCAATAGTAAGTATATTAATTTTGCACACTAAGTTAAATTAGCATTTATTATTACAGCCATAATTTCTCTTGCAAATAGTCATGGATTAAGTTGGCATAGTTACAATTTTCTAACAAACAGTGTTGTGTTTTTTAGGTTGCTCTGGGCCGAGAATGGTACATACACACGATCTACACAGTAAGATCAAAAGACAACTCCAACAGGGGCATTGGCAAAAGAAGTGTGGAGTACCAGTACCACTCTATAGTGAGTCCAGGAAAGCCCCAGCCAACTACCAAGAGCAGGAAGAAGAGGAAGATCAGGAGCACACCCCCACTGGTATGGGCAATTGGAGCTAAAAACAGCCGGGGAACAAACATCCAGCACATTTCCCTGGACCGAACCAACAAGAAGCAGGACCCCAAAGGAAGAGTTCCTCCTGACAGCATCCTCCCCTGGGAGCACAACAGTCCCATCTCTGAGGTCAGCCTGGTCATGGTCATGGGAGGCATCGCAGTGGGATTACTCACTCTTGGCCTCATTGCCATTGCAGCAGTGATATGCAAGAGCAAGAGGAGTGCCAGGAGGAAGGATGCTCCAAAGGGCTCAGGCAACAGCGAGCCCATGATGTCCCCACATAGCTACCACAGCGATAGCTCTGAGGTTTGATGGCCATGGGTGCAATTCAACATTTTCCTCAAGTGCCTCAGACTTAAAAAAAAAAACAGAAATCCAAATCCTTCTATAAATGGCAGAGAATTGGGAACTTCTGTGACGAAGCTGCTTAGAGGACCTGACTGTGCTAATAAACTTTGATTTGAATTCTGTCTACTCTGTTATGCATCAAAGGAAAAATTCAGACCACAAACCACATTTTTCCTCTTGCCCAGAAAGCAGCAACAATGTATTCACATATACCCAGAGCTATAAAAGGACAGCAAAGAATGTACTTCTCATTTTAGGCATTTTCGCTACACAATGGAGATGAACTTACTCAAAGGTGCTGATAGACTCTATGAGCCATTTCAGAGGCATCTACTGTATGAACTTTGAAGGTGCAAGTATCACATTGGTTATATAACATTTTATTACTAGAAATATTATAATTGGTAGTCTGAGAAAATAATGCACATTGTTTATTATGACAAGTTTTCTAGTAAGTGAAGACAGCATAGAATTATGACCAAGGGTAACTCAACCCACAAATCACCTTTTATACTACTTGGGAGGGAATAGAAGGAAAAATAAAGGGAAAATAAATCACTAATTTGGATTTGAATTGTTTCTCATCCTCATCAGGCCCTCCTTGTTTAATTTCCTTATTTAATTTTTAATTAAACTGAAGAATATGTTAAGTCTAGAAGGAATTGTTGAAGAGAGACTGCTCTGTTTTGGTAGAAAGCGAGAAATAGTAGAGTTCTTGCATGATCATATACCTAATTGGTGCTCAATATTTGTAGAAAATGAGAGTGTTGGTGACATTTTGACAGCAAAGAAGTGCCATAGAGTTAGATTCACATTTATAAGACAATGTTCTCTAAGAACTGAGCCTAGGTGTTTTCAGTATTGAACCCACAAATGATAATGAGAAACATCATTATCTGAAAGAAGAAAGTGGTGTTTTTTAACATCATATGTTTAACCAAAGTGCTTATTATACATACTTTATAGAATAACAAAAAAAATTTTATCAGATGATAATAGTACATTAGTTTAAACCTCAGAGTAGCATAATCACATGACCATGTCCGGAATTTGAATTGGCCATAGGACATTATATTACTTTCTAATCAGCGTCTGCTCTAAACCCTGGAAATCTCTGCAACTGTCACTTCAGAGTTCTTGGTAGTGTCCAGCATCATCCATCATATTCTTCTTATATCCAAAAGGAAAGTATCATTCTTTGGCATCTCTAGTTAAATAACTGATGCATTGTGGTCCTCTCTGTACCTAAAAATATAATTTGTAACACTGCTTAATGTGTTAAAAACCAAAGAACTTGATTGAATTTGAACTTACTTGGCAAGCCTCCCATTGCCTTTCTGAAAAATGTGCTTTCACCAAATAGCAAAAATCTTGGTTTGAAATGAAAAATGTCAGCAGTTTTATCACCAATCTTTGAAAAGCTAGTAAATGTATTGCAAGCAAAAGTAAGATCAGTGGGGAAAGAACCGTACCTGAAAACTAACCTTTCAGTGTTGCCTGGAATCCCCTTTCACTTGCAGCCATAACCTGGCCACAGTGGACATCCCTGGTGGAATGAAGATAATTAGAAGACCAATCTTTCTCCAGGTCATAGAGGCACATTTGTCTGGTGTCTGTGAACAGACCAAACATCTCTTGCTTGAAAGAAAAAGAAGCTACAGTGGTACTGGGAGAGAGGTAAAAAGTATCTAATACTTGCCTCTCTTCTTTTGGGCAGTCTACTCACATTCAAAGTCTTTTTAAAGAATAGATTTTCAACCAGCAATTTTCAACCAGTGTGTTGGGGCAAGCACACTGGTGGGCTGCAAGAATTTTAAAAACATTAAATGTCTGACTATTTAGTCATGGACACTAACCTCTTTTCCTTTAGATTATCAAATAAAAAATAACAACAGCCAACACAATAGCCATCCAGTGGGAATAAATCTAAATTATATTTAATTTTTTGTCAGAATGGCAAAAAATAAATTTTTTTGGTGGGCTGCATAATTTTAGTATTAGTTTATATGTGCCATGAGATGAAAAAGCTTGATAAATTGCTAGAGTAGTGTATAGTCTCCTTCCATTGGATAATTTACAAATATCACCTACCACTCAACGATCCCCCAAAGGACTTTGATAAATAGAAAGTACTATATAACTCAAGAGTTCGCTCATCAAATAAATATTAATAATTTCTTAATAATCCAGTTTTCTTTTGCTTTGCCTTTTGACAGATGATTAGCTACTTCTTTGGTTATCTTATAGCTTGTATGGGAATATCTGGGTTAAGCAGCTTCAAATAGTTCATGGACTTGGTACTATTTAGCACTGGGTTCAATTTATGTAGACTGTTAAGGCAAGTATTCTCAATTGACTTGTTATTTTAGTAGTTAAGATGCTCAGGGCCTGACTACCATGCAATCCTGGAGAGGGGCGGGTGGTAGGGGGGTCGCTGTCACTAAATATAGTAATCAGTGAAGCATCAATACAAGAAGTCTGTTTTAAACTTTTGGGCCAAGTTACTATTATACCAAATTTCACTCTACAATGAGTTGTTCTAATGAGACTACTGTATATGAATTAGAGAGCTTATAAAATGCAAAACGTGTCTATGCTTTACAAACAAAGAGAATCTGTTTCTCTCTGCATCATTTTCTTAATATCTATATACTTAATGTGTAATTTAACATACATTAATCATAAAAACTCTTTTTAGTGGAAAAAAGTATCAGACAAAATGTTTCATTACTCAATAAAACAGACCCTTATTTTCTTTTTTAAACTTTATTTTTCAATTACAGTTTACATTCAATATTATTTTATATGAGTTTCAAACTATAGCATAGTGGCCCTAGCCGGTTTGGCTCAGTGGATAGAGCATTGGCCTGCAGACTAAGGGGTCCCGGGTTCGATTCCAGTCAAGTGTATGTACCTTGGTTGTGGGTACATCCCCAGTAGGTGGTATGCAGGAGGCAGCTGATCGATGTTTCTCTCTCACCGATGTTTCTAACTCTATCTCTCTCCCTTCCTCTCTGTAAAAAATCAATAAAATATATTTTTAAAAAAACTATAGCATAGTGGTTAGACAATCTTTACAAAGTGATCTCTCAGACACTTCCAGTACACATGGCACCATACTTAGTTATTATAATACTACAGGCCCGGTGCATGGATTCATGCATGGGTGGGGTCCCTCAGCCTGGCCTGCACCCTCTCGCAATCAGGTATCCCTTGGGGAGATGTTGGACTGCCAGTTTTGGCCCTATCCCTGCAGGCCAACCCCCGAGGAATGTAGCAGTGCTGCTAGCGCAGGTGGCTGGGGAGGAGCCCCAGCTGGGCCAGGCACAACTCCGCTGCCACTCATCCCAGCCCCATTGCACCTGCCCCCGCCCCGCTGTGTTTGTAAAGCTTCTGGCTGAGCAACACTCCCGCTGTGGGGGGCACACTGACAAACAGGGGGTAGCTCCTGCATTGAGCACCTGCCCCCTGGTGGTCAGTGCGTGTCATAGTGACCAATCGACCAATCGTTCTGGTCATTCCGGTTGTTTGGTCATAACGGTCACTTAGGCTTTTCTATAGAGAGATTATTGACTATATTCCCTATGCTCTATTTTTATACCCAGACCCTTATTTTTAATTATTGTGATACTATCAGAACATAGACAAAGAATAATTTCTCATAGAGAACAGGATGTAAACAATGATAAGTTCTGAGATACTCAGTAGCTTCTGACCCTAGTTAAAACAAGGAATTGTTGATAGTGCATAATAAACTCAAAATTAAATATTAAGCATTAGTGACTCTCCTATCATATGAACTGTTAACATAAAAACATTCAAATCTGTAAATATTTTCGTGAGTTTATTTGAGTCAAACTGTCGACAATTACCAGGAAGCAGAATATCAATGGATTGGGATAATGCTCCAGAGAATGGCAGTTTTTCACCTATTTTTATACATTATAATCAAAGGAGAAGACATAAGTGGGTTACATGAAATCCATTGGTAGGAGATGAGGGAGGTGGGAGAAAGCAAAGCGGGGAAACCTCTGGGATTGGATAAAAAGTAAAATTATGCCCTAACCGGTTTGGCTCAGTGGATAGAGCGTCAGCCTGTGGACTGAAAGGTCCCAGGTTCAATTCCAGCCAAGGGCATGTACCTTGGTTGCAGGCACATCCCCAGTAGGAGGTGTGCAAAATTCAGCTGATCGATGTTTCTCTCTCATAGATGTTTCTAACTCTCTATCTCTCTCTTCCTCTCTGTAAAAAATCAATAAAATATATATTTTTTAAAAGTAAAATGATAAACACATACTTCTTTTACTTAGGTGGGTACAGGATAGTTAGCAGTCAACAATAACATGATAACAATAACAATGAAGTAGTTTATGGTCTCTGTCCTGGTGCCCAGGGGCATTTGGTTTTGCCCTGAGAGGTCCAGAAAAAAGGGAAGTTAAAAGTTACCCTGATATTTCAATGATATGTTATTATAAATGCAAAAAAGACAATAAGAACAGTTAAGGTAAAAATTGACCTTGTCAGAGAAAATACCAGTTTAGGAGATGACTGCCCACCATAACTTCTTTTAGTTAAAGTTTAATTTCAGACCATCCTTTGTGATTACATAAGGTCTTTGAGTTTGAAAGACTGCCATGCAGGCCTTCCCTGAGCTTGTCAGTTTAGCATGTCGCCCCTTTTGTCCACACATCCCCCTTTTGGTCATAAATTAATCCAAAGGATGCATTGATGACCAACCTTTTGATTGAATAATGGAGTCAGGAGTCCCACAGTACTAGGAAGGCTTATTCCTAGGATGTCTCAATGTCAGCATTTGTCTTACTAAACAGGGTGGACCACTGGGGATGGGGCAAGACCATAACCTTAGATGGCATTCTAAGTCTAATTATTATTCAAAATAAAATGCAGGTAAATGGGAGGCAGTCAGATCCTATATGTCCATGTTAAAAAGTATTCTGGATCATTCCTAATTTTTGAGCCACCATGACCCAAGTCTTTTTTGCTGTTTGTCTTAAGTTTTGTGGGGGTATTTTTGCATCTAATATAACATTTACATATCAGGAACAACATTAAGAATATTAAACCAGTAACACTAATTAGGAACAGAAAATGTTTAATATTAGACAAGGAAGGATATTAAGGGAAACAAGTATCTACTATTATCCAGAAGTTCTATTTTTCTTCTGGACAGTTAATTTCATCTATTCCTATATATACACAATATTCATCTAAAACACTCATCTAGATTAGATCCATATATAATTCTATCAGGGGAATTATTAAGGAGGTGTTCATGGAAAGTTTTGTCCAAGGCAGGTCCTTTATAATAGACTAGAGGTCCACACACAAAATTCATGCACTGGGAGAGGGGGAGGGGAGATGTCCCTCAGCCCAGCCTGCACCCTCTCCAATCTGAAACCCCTCAGGGGATGTCAGACTGCTGGTTTAGGCCTGATCCCTGTGGGATATTCCTCTCATAATCTGGGACTGCTGGCTCCCAACCGCTCACCTGCCTGCCTGCCTGATTGCCCCTAACCACTTCTGCCAGCCAGCCTGATCACACCTTGACCACTCCCTTGCCAGCCTGACGCCTAACTGCTCCCCTGTTGGCCTGATCGTCCCAACTACCCTCCCCTGTTGGCCTGGTCACCCCCAACTTCCCTCCCCTGCAGGCCTGGTCCCCCCAAACTGCCCTCCCTTGCTGGCCATTTTGTGGCAGCCATCTTTTGACAACATGGGGATGACCAAGATGGCCAGCAGTCCCAGATAGTATTTGAATCTTTGTCTCCTGTGAATGAATGTTACTAATTTGTTAGTTCCAACAATGCAGAATGTCTACTTTTCAGTTTTCCTTATATTTGGGAAAAAAAGATTTAAAAAGCAACAATATTTTAAACAGAGTCATAAGAATAATTCAAGGGGATCAGGAAGATGGCGACCCGTAGGAAGGTAGGGAGGGAGAGAGTGTGAGAGAGCGAAGGAGCAACAGAGGAGTGTGTGGACGGGTGTGGTGTGTGTGTGGGTGTGTGTGTGGGTGTGTGTGTGTGTGTGTGTGTGTGTGTGTATGAGCTAGGGACTGTTAAATTCTGCAGGTCTTCCAAGGGGCTGCCAAACCAGGCAGTCTAAGACAGCGGAGCCCAGCTCTCAGCATAGACGCTCCTTGGCGGCTAGCGTGGGCACAGAAACCACGCCATCTTGAGAAACAGAGCTGCTTGAGACTAGGATCCTGGCCTCAGCACCAACCAGTCTGGTTTCAGCCGCAAACTGGGACCCTGCAGCCACTGGGGACAGAGACCTGTGACCACAGCTACAGACCCACAGACACCAAGAATCCAGACATCCCCGAGGCAGATTTCTGTGAGTAACAGAGCCCATCCTTCTCCCTGCAGGCTCGTGGGCAGCGCCATAGTAACTGATAGACCCGCTGCTGCAGGAATTTGAGCCTGAGAGCTTGCAGACACTAGGAATCTGTTCCCCGCAGCAACTCTGCAGGAACTTGAGCCGAGGAGTGCTCAGACACTGGGAATTTGTTCCCCACAAGGCAATTGGGCGACCAAACCCGAAGCCCATGCAGGGCTGTAGTGCCACCTGACTTTGATTCAGGGCAAGCACTCACTGAAGTCCCCCAAGCTGACCGGGACCCCGATTCTCCAGGTGGGAGGCAGCACTAAACACCAGTGACTTGACTCTGTTTCTTATCACACGCACCTGGGATACCTGATTCCCAGTGCATTCCCACTAAGAGCCAATGACTCCAATTCCTGGTGCATGGGCACACAGGGACCCTGATTCGCAGCACGAGGCTGAGATACTGGATTCTT